ATAGAGTGAATAATGTAAGTAACAAGGATAGATAAAATAATGTTGGCTAAAACTAGCTTCAAAGGAGAAGTCTCTCCTGACCAACATGGCGAAACCCTGACTCTACTTAACACAAAAAATTAGCTGGGCGTGATGGCACACGCCTGTAATCCCAGCTACTCGGGAGGCTGAGGCGGGAGAATCTCTTGAACTTGGAGGCAGAGGTTGCAGTGAGCCAAGGTTGCATCACTGCACTTCAACCTGGGTGACAGATAATTTGTCTCAAAAAAAAAAAAAAAAAAAAAGGAAAAGTCTCCTACCTTAGTCAAGCTTCTTTGGCTTTTAAGAATAGATATCCCAGTGAAGTACCATCAGACAAGAGGCATATTGCATGAATACATAAGACCTGGATCTGGAATTGGAGGGCTCAGTTTTGAGGCCACTCCAGGAACCAGTTTTTGTAGGTAGCTCTGATTCATTCTGCTTGTCTCTTTTAGTCTCCAATATTTACCAATGGACTCATCTCAGAGCTCGTTTATGGTCTACGTTACAAATCATATAAAACCTAATGCAAATTTGCATTAATAATAAATAACTTTATTGGCTCATGTATTTAGAAAGACTAGAGATGGGGTAGCATTGAGGTAATTCAGAGGCTCAACAATGTCAACAGGGAATAGAAAGAAGGATTTATTTATTTATTTATTTATTTCTGATAGAGTCTTGCTCTGTCACAGAGGGAGCAGGCAGCCAACAAGCCCTTCCTTGGAAGATCTGGATAGTGCATCTCTCAACTATCCTAGATGAATATTTGGCAATATAGAGAGATGCTGAAATCCCTGTTAATTTTCTTTTAATCACACACCAAGAGTAAAGAGAAAAAGACTTCTGCATCCGTGGTAAAATTAGAGAATCTTTTGCAAAAAGTATACAGCAGATGCTGTTGAGAAAACTGGGCTTAACTGGAGCAATCTGCTATTGGTGCCATTTACAGTGAAATGCTACTGCAGAGACCTGGTCTGCACAGGCAAGCAGAAGGACTCCTCTAGTTATCCTAGTTAAAAAGGTTATTTTGAGAGGTGAATAAGGAGGAGGAAGAAAAAGGACAGTGCTATGGTCCATTTTCAGGAAATAGCCCAGAATATCAGTTAGCCCTAGAACACCCTGCTGAAACTTGGGAGAGGGGCTGAAAGTGGGCATGACTCAGCTGCCTGAGGCTTCATTCCCCAAAATCCAGTTTCCCTGAGAGTAGAGATAGGCAGGTTTCTCACTTCTATAGATGTTCTCCTTAGGCTATGCCCTGAGAACTGACATGTGACCAAGTTTTCTAATTTGTTACAGGTGTGGGTCAGCCAGCAACAAATAGGAAAGTAGTGACCAAAAATGCAAACTGCTCCCTCATGTTCATGAAACAATCAGTTCTGTATGGGGTGGACTGCTGCCAAGGACCCAATGACTCAGGGCTTTGTGCGGACATGTCCAGGGATCCCCCAGACACAGAAAAGGGATTATATCCAACTCTGATGAGGAGTGCTCTGGAGCAGGGCCTCAACACTTTGGTGCCAGCAGCATCCATTCTTTTAAGTTCCTGAGGAAGATAGACATTTCTAAGCAAACAGTTTCCTTGATGAGAAACCAACTCTGGTTATATGGAATATAAGCATTTCTGAAGAGGTCAGAAAAGGGGAACAGGGCCTTAGATGTGAATTCTCTGGACATATCAAGAATGTAGATTATTGACTGGGTGTGGTGGCTCACAGTTGTAATCCCAGCACTTCAGGAGGCCGAGGTAGGCAGATCACCTGAGGTCAGGAGTTCAAGACCAGCCTGGCCAACATGGTGAAACCCCCATCTCTACTAAAAATACAAAAATTAGCTGGGCATGGTGGCGGGTGCCTGTAATCCCAGCTACTAGAGAGGCTGAGGCAGGAGAATCACTTGAACTCAGAAGGTGGAGGTTGCAGTGAGCCAAGGATCGTGCCACGTGCACTCGCAGCTGGGACAGAGGCAAGACTCTGTCTCAAAAAAGAGAAGAATGTATGATTATTGTATGAATACCACTGGCCCAGTTGCTAGTGTGGAGGGCACAGACCTTGAGTGGGAGGAGTTGAATGGAAAAGCAAGGAGAATACCTAACAACACTTCGTCCCCAACGTGTTGGTGTTGGCAGTGTATGGTTTGTGTATGGAGGTGTTGGCAATTCAACCTCTCGCGTTGCCTTCGTCAAGTATATAGGGTTGGTGCAAAAGTAATTGGGGTTTTGGTACCAGCCCACTGCAAAAAATACCAAATTGTAAAAGGACCCATAAAGCCCACTATGAAGAAACTGCATCAACTAATTGGCAAAAATAACCAGCTAGGTCATCAATAGATACAGGATCAAATTCCACACATACACATATTAACCATTAAATGTTAAAATGGGCTTAATGGCCCGCAATGGGAAAGACCCCACAGGGACTGCAAATTGGATAAAGAGGTAAGGACCCGATCAGTGTGCTGGTACTCGCAGGCAAGGGACGCCATCCCATGTGCAAAGACACGCACAGAAGCAATGCAAAAGATGCAAAGGAAACGGAGGAGAATGATTTACCCCAAGAAATAGGTAAAGGCAAAAAAGCAGGAGTTGCAATTCGCTATCTCGATAAAAACAGACTTTAAAAGACCACATACAATAGAGTCAAAAGGGAGGGGGACAACGGGTAGTTACATAATGGTAAAGGGATCATTGCACCAAAAAGAAGCGAACGATGGGTAAGAATGTATAACCCCAATTACAGGAGGCGAGCCTGAGCGAGTGCGATGAAGAAGGCAGATGGGCTTTAGAGATCCGACAAAAGATGACGGCTTGAGGACTCGCCAGCGCACAGAGTAGATAGTTGGAGACTGGTAAGCAGCTCCGACTCTCCATGATATTAGATCAATGAGGACAGAGAAATTTAACATAGGATTATTCAGGGACTTTGTAACTGCAGCTCTGGATCAAGGCACAGCTTAACAGATATCTTACAAACTCTCCACCCCAAGATCAACTCAGGAATATTACCGTTCTTCGGTTAGGAGTGCAAGCATTGGCACGGCACGGAGATTGAAGCAACATAATTGGAGTAAAACCACTCTCAGGCAAAGTGCAATAAGGGAACGGACATTATACACAGTCGTTCAGACGCGCACAGTGCAATCAAGTTAGACTCAGGATTAGAAGGATTCCACTCCAAAAGCGCGACAACAACTTACAGGTGAAACTGGATCCATATCCTGCTCCTGAATGGAACTTCTGGTAGAGTAATGAAATTAAGACAGAAATAAAAGTTATTTGAAACGGCAATGAGAACGCCAAGAGACAGCGAAATGTACAAAGAATCTCTGACCCACACTAAGCAGTGTTTAGAAGATATTGTATAGCATGAAAATTGGCCGCGAGCAGGAGAAGAGCGGGGAAAGAGTAAAAATCGACACCGCTGAAACGCATCCCAGCAATGAAAAGAGCTATGAGCAAGCAAGAGCAAATATCATGTAGCAAAAGAGATTAACTAAGAATCAGAGGCCCAACTGAAGGGAAGAGGACCACGAAGAAAACCTTCAAAAAATCCATGGGAATCCCCAGGAGCTGGTTTTTGAAAAGATGTAACAAGAACAGAGACTGATGCATGGGCTGATGGTGGCAGAACAACTTGTGGACATGTATAACCCTATGTAACAAACCTGCATGTTCTGCACGTGTATCCCAGAACTTAAAGTATAATAATAATTAAAAAAAAAGTAATTGCGGTTTTGGACCATGGATTTTTAGTGATTATAACTAGGGTCAAACACATTTTTATTAATCAAAATAGAACCATTACAATCAGCACCTTTTTGCCAACAGGAAATAAGTTCGTTTATTCCTGTAGTGTAAGAAGCTGTGCTTCGGGATTCGCTGAACTCTTAAAAAGCATTTTCTGCATCCTGCTGGTTGTAGAAGTGTTTTCCCTGCAAAAAGTTGTTGAGATGCTTGAAGAAGTGGTAGTTGGTTTGGCCACAGGTCAGATGAATATGGCAGATGAGGCAAAACTTCATAGACCAATTTGTTCAACTTTTGAAGGGTTGGTTGTGCGACAAGTAGTCAGGCATTGTTGTTGTTGTGGAGAAGAACTGGGTCCTTTCTGTTGACCACTGTCAGCTGCAGGTGTTGCACTTTTCAGTGCCTCATTGATTTGCTAAGCATACTTCTCAGATGTAATGGTTTCACCAGGATTCAGAAAGCCACAGTGGATCAGACTGGTTGCAGACCACCAAATGGTGACCATGACTTGTTTTTGGTGCTCTGGGAAGTGCTGTGGAGCTTCTTCTGGGCCCAACCATTGAGCTGGACGTTGCCAGGTTTGTATAAAATCTACTTTTCATAGCACGTCTCAATCCAAGTGGAGAAATGGTTCATTGTTGTGTAGAACAAGAGAAGACAACACTTCAAAATGATAATTTTTTGATTTTCGGTTGGCTCATGAGGCACCCACTTATCGAGCTTTTTCACCTTTCCAATTTGCTTCAAATGCCAAGTGGCCATAGAGTGGTCAACATTGAGTTCTTCGGCAACTTCTCCTGTAGCTATGAGAGGATCAGCTTCACTGATTGCTCTCAATTGGTCATTGTCAACTTCCGATGGCCGGACACTATGCTCATCATCTTCAAGACTCTCATTTCCTTTGCAAAACTTTCTTTCTTTCTTTTAAAATTGAGACAGAGTCTTGTTCTGTCACTGGAGTACAGTGGCATGATCTCTGCTCACTGCAACCTCTGCCTCCCAGGTTTAAGTGATTCTCCCACCTCAGCCTCCTGAGTAGCTGGGATTACAGGTATGTGCCACCATGCCCAACTAATTTTTGTATTTTTAGTAGAGAAGGGGTTTCATCATGTTGGCCTGGCTGGTCTCAAACTCCTGACCTCAAGTGATCTGGATGCCTTGGCCTCCCAAAGTGCTGGGATTGCAGGTGTGAGCTGCCACACCTGGCCATCCTTTGCAAAACTTCTTGAACCACCACTGCACTGTATGTTCGCTAGCAGTTCCTGGGCCAAATGCATTCTTGATGTTGCAAGTTGTCTCTGCTGCTTTACAGCCCATTTTGAACTCGAATAAGAAAACTGCTTGCATTTGTTTTTTTGTCTAACATAATTTCCATAGTCTAAAATAAACATAAACAGCAAGAAATAAGTTATTAGCAAAAAAAAAAAGTGAGAAATGTCCATTAAACTGATGTATAACATAACCACATTTATTCAAGCATGTATTCCAACACGAAATGGCAAATTCCAACAATGCAAAAACCATAATTACTTTTGCACTCACCTAATAGTAGCTGTTTTTTGTTCCTTGACCCTCTGGGTGGAGGTGGGATGGGTTTCCTTCTTGCTATGCAGTTACTCAGTGCTATTGCTAAACCACCTCCTCCCTTTTTCTTAACCTCACCTACAACTTTGAATTTCATGTCACCAGACTATACCATGCTTGGGTTTCCAAGTTATACTTATCCACCAACCTCCAAGCCTTTTCAAGATTGTTGCTTCTGAGCCGGGCGCGGTGGCTCAAGCCTGTAATCCCAGCACTTTGGGAGGCTGAGACGGGCGGATCACAAGGTCAGGAGATCGAGACCATCCTGGCTAACACGGTGAAACCCCGTCTCTACTAAAAAATACAAAAAACTAGCCGGGCGAGGTGGCGGGCGCCTGTGGTCCCAGCTACTCCGGAGGCTGAGGCAGGAGAATGGCGTAAACCCGGGAGGCGGAGCTTGCAGTGAGCTGAGATCCGGCCACTGCACTCCAGCCTGGGCGGCAGCGACAGAGCCAGACTCCGTCTCAAAAAAAAAAAAAAAAAAGATTGTTGCTTCTGGCTCTCTCCAACATCATTCTTGTTATATTTTTTGGTGATTTCGGTATCCTCATGGATCATCCAATCAATGCTCTGGTGCTCGGTTTCTATCCCTTCTCCAGTGATCTTGTCCTTTAACCTACCTTAGCTTTCCCTCGTTTGGTCATACCATAGACTTTGACAGCACCAATAAGCACAGCCTCTCCATACACTCAGCTCCAAGCATCCTACTCTCAGACCACAAGCATCCTACTCTCAGACCACCACCTCTTATCTTAGCACATTCTTTTGAGTATCCTGTTCTAACAAACCTTAGACCACCACAGGGACCTACAACTTCTTGACTCTAACAACTTTTCACTGTCCCTTACCTTCTACTTCTCATTGTATAACAAATGACCCTCAAATTTAGCATCTTAATACAACAAACATTATCTCACATAGTTTCTGGTTGGGCGGTCTGGCTCAGGGTCTCTTATGAGGTTGCAGTCAATTGTTGGCTGAGAGCACAGTCTCTGAAGACTTGATTAGGGCTGGAGGGTCTACTTCCAAGTTCATTCACAGGGCTGCTGTCAGAATGTTTCAGTTTCTTGCCATGTGATCCTCTTTATAGAACTGCTAATTATTTACATGACTTCTCTCAGAGCAAGAGATCTGAGAGAGAGGGAGGGAGGGAGGAAAGGAGAGAGGGAGAGCAAGCAAGTGCATGTGAGCATGTCTCTTATAACCTAACCTCTGTAGTAATACACCACCCCTTCTGCCATATTCTGTTGGTCATGCAGACCAACCTAGGTACAATGTGGGAGGGGACTACACAAAGGTGGGGATCATTAGGGGCCATCTTGGAGGTTGGCTACAATACTATTTTGCAGAGAAAACAGAGTAATCAGAAGAGAATTTCCATAAGCTCCTACCACCACATTACCTAATTATCAGTTTCCTGGGTATTCTAACTTTTCTGCTATTATTATAATTAACCATACCTCCTGCTATCTAAGGCCAATCCCTCCACTTGTTCACTAGGTTCCATTTCCTCTATGAGGTTTGTACAAAGACAAATCACCTAACATTTCTCAAAATGTATCCCCATCTTTAAGTGACACATGACTGTAGATCCCCAAATTCTCTCCTATCTCTCCTGCATCATTAGTTTTCTCCTGTCTACTGGTTAATTTCCATCAATAAAAAATATACGCTATGATCTTAAATAACTCTCCAATGATCCTACCTCTACGTTCAGCCACCTCTTTCGCTGTGTCCCTTCACAACAAAACTCATGGAAAGAATTGTCTAAAATTGCTGTCTCCAATTCCTTCTCCTACTTTTTCTTGCCTAGCCCATCAGGCTTTTGCTCTCCAACTGCTCTAAAGACACTGCTCTTTTAAAAGTTATCAATGACTTCCACATGGTCAAATCCAAGAGTCAATTTTCAGTCCTTACCTTATTTGATCTGTCAGCAGGATTTAACACAGATGGTCTGCCCTCAATGGAACATTTCTTTTTCACCTGGCTTTCAAGGTATCACACCCTTGTGGTTTTCTTCCTTGGTTTACTGATTAATCCTTCTCAATCTCTTAGCATTCTCCTCCTCTTTTTCTCAGCCTCTGTAATACTGAAATACCCTGGGGCTGTTTTAGGATTTATTCTTTCATCTGTCTCTATTCAACCCCTTGATGAGTCCATCCAGTCTCATGGCTTTCAATCTACAGGCTAACAACTCTTAAATTTGTATTTGCAGCCCACAACTCTTCTCTCAGCTCCTGACACTTTTTCTCATACTATCTTCTTGGATGTTGATTAAACAAAACTTAATCTGCCCCAAACTGAACTCGTGATCTTCCCCTTTCCAAATCTACTCCTTCCACCATCTTCACTATTTCAGTAAATAGTAATTTCATCCTGACAGCTGCTCGGGATGAAGCCCCTAGTTTTCCTTGACATCTCTCCCTCACACAATCCATATCCAAACCTTCACAGGTCCTGAAAGTTTTGCCTCCCAAATAACTACAGAATTCAACCACTTATCATCATCTCCACCACCTCCTTGATCCAAGACATTATAATCCCTTATCCGAATTATTGCAATAGCCACCTAATTGGTCTTTACAGTCTATTCTCACTACAGCATTTGGAATTTCTTTTTTTTAAATTTTAAGTCACATTATGGTGTTCCTTTGCTCCAAACCTTGCTCCAGTGGCTCCCCATCTCAACACCTATGGTGGCTGACGATATTCGATTGGATTGCCTGCTTGACCTACTGTCTCAGCATTCTTCCCCTTTCCCTCTGCTCCAGTCACACTATCCTCCTGACTTTTTCTCAACGAGCCAATGCTCCCACCTTGGGGCGTTTGTACTTGCTGTTGTATCTGGAACATGTTTATAAAGACTCCGTTGAAGAGCACAGTGGCCTCTTCTATTATCTCATTTAAATCTTTGCTGAAAAGTATCGCAGTGCAGCTTTCTCTGGACATTCTAATATTTCATCCTTCCCATTCCCACCCTACCCGCCACACTCCCTCTCCGCTTTCTTTGCTTCACTCCACATCACAGACATTTACTTACTCATTGTTTATTCGTTTATTTCCCCTCACTCTATTGTGAATTCCCTGAGCAGGGATATTTGTTTCGTTCATAGCTACGTATCTCCGGTGCTTGGAACAGCACTGGTATATAAAAAGCTCATAGTAATGTATGTTAACCGAATGAATAAATTACCCTACAGAGATAGTCGAGTGTCTCTGGATTACAGCACAGCTTGCAGCAGAGAGGGAGACCACTCAAGAGGCCGTGATGTCCAAATACAATAACATGTACGAAACAGCGTTGTAAAATGAGCTGCACAGAGGATCCGAAAAATTCGTTAGCTTAATTTGTCTCCCCAGGAAGCCGTGCCAGGCTCGCCTCCCTCTTTCATTCTTTTCCCGTGGTTCCCTCTACTGGGACCCCTGGCCCGCCCAGTCTGCCAGATCACAGGCCCAGCGCATCCCTTTCCGGAGGGATTTAGGAGGTCTCGGCGGTGGTCCAGCAACTACATTCCCACCACGCCTCAGATGGCGCATTACCTAGCAACCGCGCATACCCACACGTTCCCGCCCCCTCAGCCGGGCAGGAAGAGGAAGTGGCGATACCACGGACGCTCAAAACCCCACCTCTCACGCCTTCCCAGCTCCGGGAGGGGACGCGGAGTCCGGAAGGGGCGGGCATAAGGCTACGGAGGGGCGGGACGGAGCAGTCCGCCCCGAAGTGGCGGTTTACTTGAGGCGGTTACCTTAGTACACCGAGTAGACTGAGTCTGTGGCGAATTGCGGGCCGATTCCCGGCCAGTGCCATCTCAGCCGGAGTGGACCTCGGGGCCTCAGAAGCAGACTTTTATCTGGCCCGAGGCTCCCAGCCGTTCAGCGCGTCTTCCCATAACCGGATACCGATTATTGGGACTCTCAGCTGCAGACACAGGTCCCCGCCCCTCCCTCTTTCTCCGGTCTGCTGCTGTCATTCCTCCCTTCCCGCCTCGCTGCGCCCACAGCGGGGCACAGTCATCGTTCTGTCATTCCCATCCTTTCTCTTCCCTCTCATCGCCATTTCTTCTAGAAGGCAACTTAAAAACCTTTCCTTGCCTCTTTATGCTCATTTCTCTTCCCTTCTTTTCTTCCTTTTTCTCTAGAATACTTGTGTTTCCACTCCGTGCCAGGCTTCTGCCTCCAGGGCTTCTCTCCTTTTCATGGGCCTGTGGCTCATGTGTTAGGAGGTTGAACTTTTAATGCAGTCGTTTGAAGATTTTAAGCTTTTTCTTTCTCCTAACCAGGAGTCACAGATGCTGGGAAGTATGGCCCCAAAGAAACCTCGAAATACCACAAGGTTACCCCTGGCTTTAAACCCCCTGAAGAGCAAGGACGTGTTGGCAGTGCTGGCTGAGAGGAACCAGGCTATAGTACCAGTTGGGGCATGGGTGGAACCTGCCTCACCAGGTAGTTCGGAAATCCCAGCATATGTGAGTGTCAGTTTGATCTAAATATGGTGGGGTTCCCCACCACCGTTTTTATTAGTCTTCTCTAATCCTGGGTGCTTAAAGATGAACAGTCCGAGGATGCTGTTTCTATTCTGCCATAAATAGTTTATGTTCTTGCATCAGGATTATAGAACAAACAAGTATTTGCCAAAACTTGACTGCAGCTTTAGTTGGCATAATCAAATGCTTATTACTCACCTACTATAATATATAGAACATAATCTACATGGAACAGGTTATATAGATATATATCTGTATATCAGTTTACGTCAGACTCTTGATTGCTTGCTCTGCCCAAGACATAGGCACTATCTACATCTTCCAGACACTGCAACTTAGTATGGATGATAGTTGGCATACTTTAAGTAACATTAATTGGTTGCTTAAGGTTTATGATAAATTTTCTAATGAGGATTCAGGCAAAATGGTGTAATAGAATAAAGGAGAAAGAGATGAACTTTGGTAATCTGAAAAAGTCTAACTAGAAATTCCACGGTTTCTGATGGTCTTTCACCAGACTGTGCCCCATAGCTATTTGTTCAAATTTAACTTGGCACTTACCACATTGTGTTATAGTAGATTGTTTATATATCTTTTCCTTATGCAGTGTGAGCTCCTTGAGCATAGAGAACAAATCTCATTTATCATCACATTCCCACTTTTATCTTAAATACTGCCTAATATAGACACTCATGAAATATTTATGAAAGGCACAAAATGTCATCTGTATGTGTAGACAAGGTGCTGAACATGGATGAAAAAAGGATAAGGTATGTTCCCTCAGTGTACTTGATCTCAGAGGAGAAATGAGACATGTTTAAATGTTAAAGCAATGCAATATACTATATTCATTCATTTTATTTATGTTTGCACATATGTATGTATATTCATTGATTTATTTCTACCCTGCCTATTTCCAAAAAGGATTTTAAGAGTCTAGGTGGTATATCTATACAAGTTCTAAGAATATAATGCTTAATCAAGAAGCTATGACATTGGGTTGATGTGACCCAGGAAAGTGTAATGAATAATTTGATCGGAGAAGGGAAGGGAAAGATTCTCCTATTAAGGAGAATGAGGAGAGTAAAAAGTAAGGTTGAGGATTCTAAGGGTAGATTAGATCGATTGGAGTGGAAAGTTTAGTAGGAGAATGGTCATTGACAGGATTATGGAAAATAGGGATGGTGGAGTACCATAGGAAATTTTGGAGAAGGAACTGACTTTTTAAAATATTTACAGGTGAATGTCATGATCAACCAGTGTTTTGATTAGATTAATTGCTTCAAAGGTTTTGAAGGATAGGGAGTGATTGGATCCTGGGGATAAATTAGAATACAATTATAACAATTTAAGCATGGAGTATAGCATTAAAACTTTGTTAGGGGTAAGAAATAGAGAAGAAAAGCCTTGAAAAAGGATGGTTGAAGTGCTTGAGCCACGAGTTTTAGGCTGCAGTGAGCTATGATCATGCTACTGCACTCTAGCCTGGGAAACAGAATGAGATCCCATCTCTGGAAAAAAAAAAAAAAGTGGAATGAGAAGGGATGAATGCAAGAAATACCCCACAAGTCTCGATAAGATTTGGTATAAAGATATTTTGGTATTTAAGTTGTTGACACCTTTTTAATTGCTCAAGTTACATCTGTATAATATCAGTAGTGTATCAAACTTTCTCTATGTTAAGAAGTATTGAATATCGTATTCACACACATTAACTCAAAATATTAAAGCCTTGGAACATGGATAAACATATCTCCTTTTCCTGATTTAAAAATTTCTGATCAGTTCCAGCCAAAGGGAGTTTGATCAAGCATCTGATAGAACTCTTATAGCTTTAGCATATCTAGTCTGGGTATCCACCCCTATTAACGGATATAGCTCTCTCAGCTCAAAGTAAATGCTGAATAGTTACTTCTAAAGCTTGGCCCTTAGATCATGTCTGTTCTAAAGGGGAACTTCTACTCATTTTTCTCCCCAAAATTTCAGGAGGCCATCAGGATTCCTAAAAATGTCATAGCTTTAGACTACCTCCCCCCAATAATTATTAATAAATTAGCATCAAAAGACACTGCTGTTCTATCATCATATATAGGATTGCATTGTTTTATAATTTGTTCTGGTTAGCTTTTGCTGTGTAACCAGCCACCCCAGAACTTAGTGGTATAAAGCAAATAATACTATGTATCAGGAATTTGAGCAGGGTACAGTAGTAATGGCTTGTCTCTGCTCCATAGTGTCTGGGGCCTTAGCTGGGGCTCAAATAACTGGACATGTCTGAGTCACCTTGACTATTTTCTAGCTATTGGTTGGAGCTAGAAAATAATCAAGCTGTCCCAGTCATGTGGCATCTGCTGGGCTGTAATGTCCAAGATGGCTTTCTTATTCATATAGCTGACACTTGGGCTAGGATAACTAGAGTGTCTGGGTGCTGGCTAGATACATTTCTCTTTTCGCATGGGCTTCTCTATTTGACTAACTTGGGCTTCCTCACAGCATGGTAATCTCAGGGTAGAATGAATTTTTATATGGTGCTGACTTCCTTCAGAATGAGCACTCTAAGAACCCAGGTGGAAATTTCTTTATGACCTGACTTGTAATCTTGTGGAGTAAAAGAGGAGCAGAGAAAATGGAGGTAAAAGAAAGAGGCTGAATGGCTTAAACTTGTCTGGGACTTGAGTTAAGCTGAGTCAGTTGTTCAGGCTTCATTATGTATATATCTCTCCACTGGAATTATTCTACCTAATTGTTCTTTGACAGTTGTACACTCCACTAGAATAGTTTATGGGATAGACACCTTGGAAATTTTAACTTAAATTGAAATTTGAATGCATTTGATTTTGAGAATTTAATGACAACCTGTAAAATGATCAGAGGTGGCACCCTTCAGAGTTAGAAGTCGGAATCACTGAGTTAGAAGGAATAGGTAGGAGATATGATGATGATTTTATTTAATTTGAAAATTCCTAGTGAAAGAGAGACATATGCAGTCTAGAGTAAAGCAGTGTAGAGAGGAACATAATTGTTGGAGTCAGAAACTTCTAGTTCTGCTACTAGTTAGCTATATTAAAATTACTTTATCTTCCTGAACCCCAGTTTCCTCATCTGTAACATAAGGGATAAGAATACCTACTACCAAAGGTGGTTTTGAGAATAGAGTGCTACAATGTAGTTAAAATACTTGTCACGTAATAGATCCATAATAATGATAAGTGCTGTTATGATGATGACTATGATGATTATTATTCAAAGCACTTAGAGGAGATAAATGCAGATCAAGAACTCAAGTGGGATAAAGTGTTCCAGATTATTTAGAACAAGCTTGTCCAACATGCGGCCATGGGCCACATGTGGCCCAGGATGGCTTTGAATGCGACCCAACGTAAATTAATAAATTTTCTTAAAACACTATGCATTTTTTTGTGATTTTTAAAGTTTATTTTTATGTTTTAGCTCATCAGCTACTGTTAGTGTTAATGTATTTTGTGTGGCAGTTCTTCGAACATGGCCCAGGGAAGCCAAAAGATTGGACACCCCTGGTTTAGAATATGTTTTGGAATTCAGCAATTATATAAATATATATTGATTGCCCTTATAGTCAAGGCTCTCTACTACATGCCGTAGGGGAAATAAAGGAGAATTGAATACATATCCTGTCCTCAAAGAGTTCATAATCTAGTAGGGAAGTCAAGAAGTACTATACTCAGTTAACATTGGTGAAATGAGAAGTGTTATAGCATAAGAGGGCTCAGAGGAAGAAAGTGTTGTGGAAGGTACTAGGGAGTGGGTATTAAATGGTTGTGAAAACTGAGTAAGCCTTTACTAGGTGGAGATGAAAGGAAGGGCATGCTAGGTTAAAAATGGAGCATAATGCCGAATATGAAGACATTTTACAATATGACATACTTGCTGAGTGGTAAGTAACCTGGTGTGTCTTGACTATTTACTCCATTTTAGAAAATGTGTAACATATGGTAGGTTTTATTTGGTTCTTTAAGATTTAATGAGACATCGTTAGTTCCAGTTCAATAAAAAATTTAAGATTTGATTTGAGTACTCATACATTCCAATTTTTTTGTACAGAATGGAATTATTTTTTTTCAGGATTGTAGCCTTATCCTGACTGTTCTGTGTTTAAAACAGCCCTAATGGACAAAACTGCTGACATTTAAGTTCATTTTCTATCTTTTGTCTTTAAAGACATCAGCATATTTGATTGAAAAAGAACTAAAGGAACAGCTAAGAAGAAAACAAGAAGCTTTGAAACATTTTCAGAAGCAAGTTAAATATCGAGTAAATCAACAAATTAGGTTGAGAAAAAAGCAACAGCTTCAGAAGTCTTATGAAAGAGTAAGTTCAAAAGTGAGCCTGAGTAAAGATTGAATGGAAAATATGTATGTTATGAGATAAGCTATTAGGCAGTAACAGAATTACTTTCCTTTGATTACATGCCTAATATAATCTGATTAACTAGTGAGGACAATAGACTTTTTTTGTAGAGAAATAATGTTTTATTCCTGTGTTCTGACTCCATTTTTTACTTTTACCAAGTAGTTAAAAGCAATGTCAGAAGTTTGGGTTCAGACTTGAGTTTGAATTCTGGCTTTGCCACTTAATAGCTATTGACTTTCGGCTAATTACTTAACTTCACTGATTGTAGTTTCTTCATCCATAAAATAAGGATATGATACTTCTCTCATAGGACTGCGTGAGAGTTAGATGAGATAACCTAAATTATTAGCACATGGGAGGTGCCTGGTAAATGTTCATTCCTCTGCCAGCTAAAGCCTCTCCCCTGCCCCCCACCCCAATTTAAAATCTCTTGAACTGCTTTAGAGGCATTATTTGATTGCCCTGGATTGGGGTAGAATGTTACTATCCCCCTTTCTTCCTTTGTGTAGGCAGAAAAAGAAGGCTCTATAGCCATGCAGTCTTCAGCAGCACGCTTAACTTCCAAAAGGACAAGTGTTTTTCCAAACAATTTGAATGCTGCTATTGGAAGTTCTAGGTTACCTCCTTCCCTGATGCCTGGGGATGGAATAGAGGATGAAGAGAATCAGAACGAATTATTCCAACAACAAGCCCAGGCTGTAAGTACCTGTTCATTTTATTTTATGTCTATGATATTTTCCCCATCCCCTAAACTATAAATACGACATCTGGGGTATGAGGTAGGGATTAAGAGTTATCACACTCAGCTTCACTTTTTATAATCACCTCTTATTTTTTTTAGCCTTGTAAAGTGGGGAATGGTGGGATAATGCTTTTTAAAAATTTTAAATTTACATCTATTTGTGTTTGGTAAGACACTCTAAAATTATCTAAAGAAAGGTGCCAAAGTGTTAGAATTCAAAACTTATTAGAAAGCACTTTAGGTCAAGAACATGGATTTTCCCAGTTATATTGAAATTACATTCTAGGTAAGCTACTATTAGTTTGTAGTATACAGAGAGAAATAATTCTTAGCTTTGTTGCAAAGAAATTCAGTACACATAGGTGGCATTTCATTTATTATTTCTTTTTGTCTCATTTTTCTTATTGTTTTTTAATCTGATTATCACAATAAATGAATCTATAGTTGTAGGTTAAAGAATAATATAGTAAATTCTTAACATATCCAGAGTTTTTGAAAAATGTAATTTTTATTTAATGACTCATTTGATATACCCAATATTTAAAAATTAACCACTGTGAGTAGATTCATCCATTCAAATTGCTTGACTCTGTCCATTTAGCCCCCACTTTAGTATACCTGAGCATTTGTCCAGTTGATACAGTCTTCAACTCTGCTTCAGTAATTGTTCTTCATCTTATTTAAGATGTATTCCTAGAAATAATGAGAGGAAGAGAGAAAATGTGGAAAATTATGAGTATGTGAAAATAAAAGCTGTATTACTGCTTAACATACTTGGTCATAATTTAATTGTGCTATTAATATAAATAGGAAAAGCTTTAGAAGCACACATTATCATGTTGAAATACTGTTAACATTTTTTTCTTTGTCCACAACTATTTGACTCTTTCTTGTCATTGTTCAGTTTGTAATAATCATTTTTATTTGTTAGCAAATATTTATTGAGCCAGGCACTGCATAAAGTACAAGGAATAGAACATTGACTTAAGACAGACACAGTCCTTGCTTTCGTGGTGCTTGTAGCTATTAGTCCCACTGTAGTGATGATTTAACTTCATCTATGTAATACATAAATAGAACTCATCAGTCAGCAGTATTTGCATATGCTGTTTGTTATGGATTGTAGCGATACTAAGGAAATGTGAAATAGGACACTCCATGGATTTATATTTTCAGGTAGAAATACAAAACTAATAGACCACTCATTATATTATATAATAATATAGAGAAATTTTCTGTGTTTTGCAATAAAGTTGTGCTATGGGAGTTCAGAAAATTTTAAGAAAACAGTAGGGGAAGAATTCATGGGAGAGATAGAATTGAACTACACATTTTGAGTTGGTAAATTCAAGATAATTTGTTTTTCTTAGAGACGGAGTCTCACTCTGTTGCCCAGGCTGGAGTGCAGTGGTGCAGTCTTGGCTTACTGCAACCTCCTCCTCCTGGGTTCAAGAGAATATCCTGATTCTCCTGCCTCAGCCTCCTGAGTAGCTGGATTAGGTGCCTGCCGTGCCTGCCACCATGCCTGGCTAATTTTTATATTTTTAGTAGAGATGGGGTTTCACCATGTTGGCCAGGCTGGTCTCGAATTCCTGAGCTCAGGGATCCGCCTGCTTTGGCCTCTCAAAGTGCTGGGATTACAGGCATGAGGCACCGCACCTGGTCAAGATAATTTTTTCTTAAAAAACAAACAAACGAAAACCCTAGAATCTGCAGTGAGCTTGGTGTATTTGGGAATAAGTGATGGAAGCTTTCTAATTGATAGTTTCTAATGGAGAATAACCAAAAATGGGGTTGGATAGGGAGGAGGAAATCAGGTTATGAAAAACCTCAAATGTCACAAGATTTTTAAAAGTTTTTATAATACCCCTGCATTTTTTTTTTTTTTTTTTTCTGGAAAGGGTATGAACTACTGAAGAATATTCAGTGACTTTGAACCTGTAAACTTTGACCATATGACTCCATGACAATAGATGCTTTTTGATCTTACCACGTCTGTTGCAGTTTTTATCCACTAGATGTCACCATAAAACCAGGCAATGAGACAGTTCAGGCACAAACTCCCTTAGTTTATCTAGAACTGGTTGGGTAAAGGGTACACGTAATTCACTTTCTGAATGTTAGTACACTTCTCAGTTTTCTTGTGTCGGTGTTATAGAAACATGGGATCTTGGAGTTGGAAGAGTTTTAAAAATTGATCTGACATATTGAAATATTTATGCATGAAACTGTTTGATGTCCGGAATATACTTAAATGATAAAAGAATGAGGTAAAGAAGGAAGTTATGGATGAAACAAGATTGGCTAGGATTTGATAATGCTAAAGTGAAGTATCCATATCTCTCCATGGTGGTTCATTGTAGTGTTCTGATTACTTCTGTGTGTGTTTGAAGTTTTCCATAGGTTTGAATTTATTTACACTTTTATTAAATGTTAGAAAAGGATATTATCTGGTCCTTTCTCTCTCCAAGGAATTCTTTTCTTTTTTTTTTTTTTTTTACTTTAAGTTTTAGGGTACATGTGTACAACATACATGTTTGTTACATATGTATACATGTGCCATGTTGGTGTGCTGGACCCATTAACTTGTCATTTACCTTAGGTATTTCTCCTAATGCTATCCCTCCCCCGCCACTCCACCCCACGACAGGCCCCAATGTGTGATGTTCCCCGCCCTGTGTCCAAGTGTTCTCATTGTTCAATTCCCAACTATGAGTGAGAATATGTGGTGTTTGGTTTTCTGTCCTTGAGATGGTTCACTCAGAATATGGTTTCTAGTTTCATCCATGTCCCTACAAAGGACATGAACTTGTCCTTTTTTATGGCTGCATAGTATTTCTTGGTGTATATGTGTCACATTTTCTTAATCCAGTCTATCATTGACAGACATTTGGGTTGGTTCCAAGTCTTTGCTATTGTGAATAGTGCCGCAATAAACATACGCGTGCATGTGTCTTTATAGTAGCATGATTTATAATCCTTTCGTTATATATCCAGTAATGGGATCGCTGGGTCAAATGGTATTTCTAGTTCTAGATCCTTGAGGAATTGCCACACTGTCTTCCACAATGGTTTACAATCCCACCAACAGCGTAAAAGTGTTCCTATTTCTCCACATCCTCTCCAGCACCTGTTGTTTCCTGACTTTTTAATGATCACCATTCTAACTGGTGTGAGATGGTATCTCATTGTGGTTTTGATTTGCATTTCTCCGATGGCCAGTGATGACAAGCATTTTTTCATGTGTCTGTTGGCTGTATGAATGTCTTCTTTTGAGAAATGTCTGTTCATATCCTTTGCCCACTTTTTGATGGGATTGTTTTTTTCTTGTGAATTTGTTTGAGTTCTTTGTAGGTTCTGAATATTAGCCCTTTGTCAGATGAGTAGATTGCAAAAATTTTCTCCCATTCTGTAGGTTGCCTGTTCACTCTGATGGTAGTTTGATTTGCTGTGCAGAAGCTCTTTAGTTTAATTAGATCCCATTTGTCAATTTTGGCTTTCGTTGCCGTTGCTTTTGGTGTTTTAGACATGAAGTCCTTGTCCATGCCTATGTCCTGAATGGTATTACCTAGGTTTTCTTCTAGGGTTTTTATGGTTTTAGGTCTAACATTTAAGTCTCTAATCCATCTTGAATTAATTTTTGTATAAAGAGTAAGGAAAAGATCCAGTTTCAGCTTTCTACTAATGGCTAGCCAATTTTCCCAGCAGCATTTATTAAGTAGGGAATCCTTTCCCCATTTCTTGGTTTTGTCAGATTTGTCAAAGATCAGATGGTTGTAGATGTATGGTATTATTTCTGAGGCCTCTGTTCTGTTCCATTGATCTGTATATCTGTTTTGGTACCAGTACCATGCTGTTTTTGTTACTGTAACCTTGTAGTATAGTTTGAAGTCATGTAGCATGATGTCTCCAGCTTTGTTCTTTTGGCTTAGGATTGTCTTGGCAATGCGGGCTCTTTTTTGGTTCCATATTAACTTTAAAGTAGTTTTTTCCAATTCTGTGAAGAAGGTCATTGGTAGCTTGATGGGGGTGGCATTGAATCTAGAAATTACCTTGGGCAGTATGGCCATTTTCACGATATTGATTCTTCCTATCCATGAGCATGGAATGTTCTTCCATTTGTTTGTGTCCTCTTTTATTTCTTGAGCAGTGGTTGGTAGTTCTCCTTGAAGAGGTCCTTCACATCCCTTATAAGTTGGATTCTTAGGTATTTTATTCTCTTTGAAGCAATTGTGAATGGGAGTTCACTCATGATTTGGCTGTGTGTTTGTCTGTTATCGGTGTAGAGGAATGCTTGTGATTTTTGCACATTGATTTTGTATCCTGAGACTTTGCTGAAGTTGCTTATCAGCTTAAGGAGATTTTGGGCTGAGACGATGGGGTTTTCTAAATATACAGCCATGTCATCTGCAAACAGGGACAATTTGACTTCCTCTTTTCCTAATTGAATACTCTTTATTTCTTTCTCTTGCCTGATTGCCCTGGCCAGAACTTCCAACACTATGTTAAATAGGAGCGGTGAGAGAGGGCATTCCTGTCTTGTGCCAGTTTTCAAAGGGAATGCTTCCAGTTTTTGCCCATTTAGTATGATATTGGCTGTGGGTTTGTCATAAATAGCTCTTATTATTTTGAGATACATTCCATCAATACCTAGTTTATTGAGATTTTTTAGCAGGAAGGTCTGTTGAATTTTGTTGAAGGCCTTTTCTGCATCTATTGAGATAATCATGTGGTTTTTATTGTTGGTTCTGTTTATGTGATTGATTACTTTCACTGATTTGCGTATGTTGAACCAGCCTTGCATCCCAGGGATGAAGCCACCTTGATCTTGGTGGATAAGCTTTTTGATGTGCTGCTGGTTTCTGTTTGGCAGTATTTTATTGAGGATTCTCACATCAATGTTCATCAGGGATATTGGTCTAAAATTCTCTTTTTTTGTTGTGTTTCTGCCAGGCT